TGTGGACTGGTAGTGGAGAGGAGCCAGTTCACCTCCTGGGCCACTGCCGAAGTGCCCTTGAGCAAGGCACCTAACCCCCAACTGCTCAGCCGGCGCCAGTGAGCAGTTGGGGGTTAGGTGCCTTGCTCAAGGGCACTTCGGCAGTGGCCCAGGAGGTGAACTGGCTCCTCTCCACTACCAGTCCACACTCCGTATTTTTGGTCCGATCCGGACGTGAACCGGCGACCCTTCGGTCCAAAGTCCAATCCCCTACAGACTGACCAATTTGGGTCTATGTGTGTCTCCTATTTGTTATTTTAAGACATTTTTTGTCTTTTTCTGGTCATTTTGAGTCATATTTTGATTGTCTTTATTTTTATGATGTTGGTTATTTTGCGTCTATTTTCTGTAGGTTTTTGAGTTTCTATGTAGTCATTTGAAGTCAATATGTGTCATTTTGCAGGTGAAGCCAAATGCCCTCTGGACACTGGGCTTGTCCTGATGGAGCCCTTTTTAAAAACTCCTACTTGTTTCCATGCATCCAATCATGAAAGCTGACAAAGGCTTCAGTGGGCACTCAAACTGGAGCTTGTCACTTCCTGACATGAAACTGTGAAACTAGCTGTCTGCAACATGAGTTGTAATCCAGGATTATATCCTCTGGCTGGCTGGAGCCTAATCTGGTCCAGCTACTCACAGATGAGAAGATGAGATGAGAGATAAGGGAGAAGTGATTCAATTGCTAATGGGTGTGAGGGAGAAACAGGCTGGTGGAGGGTCAGGATAGTTGATGGTTCAGAATGAAAATGTAATATAAGATGTTTGAAGGAAGTCAACTTTGTGGAGGGAAAACACTTCCGCTGTATATCTCCTATCTGTATATGAGCACTGCAGGCATTAATTTGAGCTTTACATAATGCCCACGCTCTGTCTCTCACATAATGTCTGGCTTGCGCGGGAGAATGTATGAGAGACCTAACCATTGTCGAGTACCGACATCAAGTCAAGTACCTTTGAAAAGCAGCTCCTACGCCCACATACTTCACAGTAATTCCTCCCAGCGGTGGAAACACAGAAAAGCTCAAAAGGAAGCTAAGCTCGGTCAAGGAGTGATGAGGTTCTGTGAGTGACCCGTAATAATGATGTTTTCAGTTTTGTTCTGCCCCCTCACTTACACACACACACATATATAAGCTCACACTGCAGCAGTGCTCCACTATGCCATTACACCCACTCTGAGAAATGTAAAAGAGAAAACCCAGATCATATTCACGCAGGACTCCCACGGCACCTTCTTACACAACAGCCACCCCCTCTGTGAGTGTGTCTGCATGTGTGACGCATAGGAGGGAGACGACACCTCATCCTACACATGCACATATCAACTGACACACAACCACTCACACACACATGAAGCGATGCTGTCACCAAGGCACACAAACCCAGCCGATGTATAAACCACACACAGCAGCTCGCAGAGCAGGAGAGCAGGAGAGACGTCAAGAAGTGAAGATGGAGACAGACGGAGAGAGCATGGGAAAGCGATGGAGGGACAGAAGAGCAGAGAAAAGAGTGCAAGATGTTTTGACACTGGTGTTCGTCTTCATTAAATAAGTCTGAAGGGGGGAGCACAAATCTGGCTGAGGACAGCAGAGCAGATCTGGAGGTGTGTGAGACACATGGAGGGTAAGTTAGCGGCGACTGTGTCAACGGAGATGATGTGTGTATTTACATCATGATTACTTTAGTAGCTAATGATACTTTCCAGTTGCTTATCATAATGTCATTGTGTTATAATTCAATTTGTTGTCATGCATGGGACCATTGTCATTTGAAACTGAAGCTTTTTTTTCTCCTGTTTGTATATATTGTAGGCTACTTAAAATTGTAAGCCAATTTTTGCACAGTTTTTGAACACAGAAATAATGTAATAAAATCATAAAAAATCACAGACTCTTTTGTATTGTAGAGAAGATTGCATCAGTGTTACAGAGTTTAATTTTGATCTGTTTTTCATCTTTTCCATGTGAACAATATTTCAACTTAGACAAGAAACACCAGAGGAAACATTTTGTGGTGCGATTTTTGTATCACATTTTATACTGTTTTATTCTTTAAATAGTTTTTTTAAACTTAATTTCTTTGGAATTTTGAATGTTTTTTGTTGTTGTACACAATGCATATCCCCTCATGACCTCAATAAAACATCAGCACACTGTTTTGTGTTTTACTCTTTCACAAAGTTGGTATAATTCTCCTCCCAGGCTCAATAAAGCTGCCAGACACAAAACATAAACTCAGTTTCTCCTTCTCCCTCTCCTGTGTCTGCTGTGTCCTGACTGCGGTGCGTCGTCAGGTAGGTTCTTCCTCCCCACAGAGCACTTCAAGAAGCAGGGAGCCAGAGCGGTTGCCATGGCAGCACTGGAGGATCGGAGGCGCTCGTGGCAACCTGACGTATGACATCGGCTCCATCTCACAAAAGCCTACCACAAAAACCCACCGAAAGACGCCTACACCCTCCAACACGAGGAGACCATGCCCATACAGCCGAGGCAGTCCCAACTAAAGCTCTTCCAATATTCAGAAACCCATTCAACACGACTCCACGCCTACATCCTGCGATATAAAAAACCCTCTCACATCCATGGAAACAGCTACATCTCATCCTACTCTCTCTTTCTCTGCCCTACTGTATGCGCCCCTACAAACCCTCCTACACATCCGCGCTATGCTGCAGCGGGGTGTATATGTTATGGAGATAATTCATCAGCTAATTCCTGTCACATGACAAACCAAGAGAAAAAAAGACCGCAAAGTGCAGGTGTGTTTTATATGTATGTCTGAACCCTCATGAAGTAATAAAGTTACATTTAAAATATAATGATTATTTTCTTTTGGCTCCTAAATCAACTATAAGTGCATTCACTGTTTCAAAATTAAAGGAATGAACCGCAGCTTGAGGCAAATGAGAGGCTGATTTAAAAGGTGTTAAGACAAGTGAGATAAATATTAATCATAGAGAATACTGAAAAATAGAGGGTTATGTGGTCAAATCATGGACGGTCCTAACATCAACCCTATCTGCATATGCCTCTGAGAAATGCGAGACTGAGGTTTGCTTGTTGAGTCCATGCTTGCCATGGTGAATGCTGGGAGTCGACCCGGTCTCCCACGCATGCAGCATTAATAGAAACATCAGCAGGGCTGCAGCAGGCAGTGGGTGTCCTCTCTACGCTCTCACTGCACACTCAGATCTGTGTAGCCTCACAGAGTTCATGATGTAGCGGTAGGGATTTCTAAGCATTTGCACTTGAGCTTGTCACAGCTTTAGAGACTTAAACACACTAATACAAAAAAACCTGTGTCTCTTTAGATCCCTGTGGTGATATCTCAATGTCAAAAAGATGTGTTAAGCGTCCTCTCAGACACCCATCGTCAAGCAAAAAAAAGAACGATAATACATTAAGCGATTGATTGATATCTTTAATTAATAGGAATCGCAGCCAGAGAAATAATGAAACGAGTGGCACAGGATTACAGAGATTTTACAAATGAAAAGACCCGTGTACAGTCGACTACAGTTGACAGTAGAGAACAGGGATATTTTCTCTCCTGAGAAAGAAACACTTCACTCACTCAAATGGTTCAAACTCATCGTGCATGCCCTCCTGTTCAGTTTATTGAGTGTGTTTGCAGTTGGTGGGTGCTTATGTATCAGTGACTCATGCACAGACTTTATACAATGCGCCTCTCTCTCTCTCTCCAGCTTCTGACAAACACACTCTCTGTGTGTCTGTCTGTCTTGCTCTTTCTCTGCCTCCCACTACCCACAGAATGTTATATAAGTCTTACATAAACGCTTCATCAACACCTTTTTGGTGAACCTCACAGCCGCACCTCTTCAGGAAGCCATTATACAAATCAAACATATTTACATGGAACTGTGAGCGCTTTGTCTTACATAATCTATTGTATATAAACCAGTATTAACAATCACAACAAATATAAATTGTCCATTTCAATATTCAGTCTGCTAACAGGACACAAGAACATCAGGAATGTATACAGTGTAACAGTAGTGCTGCATGCATAGAAGTGACGCCGTCATATAGTCCGTAATGCACCAAACATAACAGATTTTAATTTGAAAAGATATTATTGCATTGCAGTAGGCAAACACAGAACTGTAGATATATGTACGTTTCTGTACCAAGCATGCTCAGATTGGTTAAAGTCTCTTGCTGGTCCATGTGAAGTGACAGCGTGTGAGTCAGATTGTCACTGATATAATTCATTGCACCATTATTCCTCCCGACTGGACTGATGTTGTGCTGCTTTACCTTATTAGATAGCAGTTAGTAAACAAGCAGAGCACCAGGGTTTGTAAAGAGAACCCTCCCTGTTGCTGACATGCACCAGGCTCTAACTTTTGGGAAAGATTGTGCCTGAATTTTTTTTTTTAAATGCGTAGTTATGGTGTCGCAGTAGTCAGGACTTGTAATGACATCCCTATCAGAAAGAGCAGACCCGACAAGTCTTAAACTGCTCCCTAGAGAGGAAAAACACGAGAGGGCAGCATGAATAGAGGGAGTTCACTACCATGCTGACATGCAACATATATAGGCGCACGCAGACGTAGAAGAAGTCAGGTAAGATGTCAGTGTTTCAGACAAATAGAGTAACAGAGAAACAATCTGAATAATTCATCTATTTTAGTATTGTTTGAGTGTATGTATTCTGTGACAGTGAATGTGTGGTCAGACTGATAAGTTTGTGTTGTGGTAAACATGACGACACGGGACAGTGAACACATCACGCTGTGGGGTGTACCTGTGTGCGAAGGCCAGGGCGTTCTGAGACGGCTCTGGACGGGAGTCTGAGTTTGGAGTCGAGTCGCAGAGGTCATCTGTGCCGTTGATGGTTTCCATGGGCGGGGTCACCGGGGTCAAAGGTGACGAGAGCTCGCCTCCTGGAGACTCCTACATGAAAAAAATAAAGGTATATAACTATGACTGCTAGTTAGACATCGAATAATCAATCAAACACTATTACATGTTTTTAATAAGTGTATATTTCACACAGTTAAAGGTGGGGTAGGTAAGTTTGAGAAACCGGCTCGAGATACACTTTTTGTTATATTCCATGGAATGCTCTTAACATCCCGATAGCAATGAATCTTAAGTGCTTTGACAATAAATACATAAAGAATGTCATCTCTGGAAGCCGTAGTGCTGTCAAAAAGCATGACCAATCATTTTAGCCGGCCCGGCTAAAATAACTGGATGGCCTACCTGCCTGTCAGCCTTCCATCTGTGCACAAACTTATCTCGTGCCCTCATTGGTCATGTGCGCGTTCGTGTGTGTTGGAGGAGGGGCTCTGTAAGGAAGTGGCAGATTTTTTCCGGTTGTGTATTTTCAAATTCTAGCGCACTCGAGCTGGTTTCTCAAACTTACCTACCCCACCTTTAAGATGAGGCACATAACAAAAATCCTTAAAAACACTGACCAAATTGCTTTTTGCAATTTCAGATATTTCCCTATAAATGGACATTTGTATGATGCCTCCTATTTTCGTTTCAATTTCTAATTTTTTTTAGGTCGAAAAAACAGCCTGATTTGCTACGTTTTAAGTTTTTAATGGTGTCTGGTTGTTTCCCCCCAAGACACAGGCTTAATCATACAAGAACAACTTTGTTTAGCTTTTCTAAAAAGAGAAACAGTCATTTGTTTGGATTAGATAAAGGCAAACTGCTATTTGAAGTCAGCATGTGCTAAAATAGAGAATCTTCTTAAGGCTGCAATTTACAACAATTTTCATTGATTTTTTCCAATTATTTTCTATAATCAACTAATTCAGTTATATTCATAAAATGTCCCCACCACAGTCCCAGGTCATTTCTGTACATTTATTTTCTTGTCAGCACAAATGCTCAAAAATAAATAGTAATATAGTGAAATTATTATCTTTGAGAGAATTAATTAACATTGATTTAAATAATAACAGATTATCAACCTTGATAAATGACTACAATTAAACAATTTATCAAAACCGTTAGCAATTATTTTACTACTCATTTCAGTCCTACAACACTTACTGAAAGTGATTTATAATTACTAACATTATGATGAATTTATATACAGTAAAATAAAATGAATTATAATTAACGTGAGAGATTTTGACAACTTGCTATTACAAGAGATGCTGACTAGATAAAAAGCCTCATGCATTTACCCTTTTCCTATAAGGAGTTTACATGATGGAGGTGTGTGTGTGTGTGTGTGTGTGTGTGTGTGTGTGTGTGTGTGTGTGTGTGTGTGTGTGTTTAGAGGTGATGGAAGTGGAGGTGCTGCCTCTCACTCTGAATCTGTAAAGCTCTTGCTGCGTCCTAGTGAACAGCCCTACGTGCCTATAGGCCATTAAATAGCTTACTATAGCACTGGGACATGGCAGAATTACAGATGAAAGCTTATCTTTATATCCCATACAACCACAGAATTATACGAGGGACAAATCATTTAGCTGCTGCTCGTACATAAAACAAAGCTATTAAGACTCAGGGCTTGGGCACAATGCAGCGGCACAATGGCACCGCCTGTACGTCTCTAATGGAGGAGAAGGAAGTGAGAGATAACAGGGAGATTATGACTAGCGTTACATTTTGCGCTGCACATTCATTAATATACCATTTTGTATCTCTTCTTGATGCTCGTCTACTGGGGTCTGGCCTATTGGGACCAGCATATAGCATTTAGCCCTTTGTTTTTCTCATCTTGTTTTAGTAGAATTCAATTCCTCTCTCCTGTTTTCCAGTTTATTTAGAGCGGTGTTTTTGTAGTCTTATACAGCATATGATCATTTAATGATACGTTTTGAGAGCTCTCTCTTTGTGTTTTTTCTCATAAAAGTTACCCGTTTCTCAGTTTTAAAGCAGGCGACAAAATAGACAATGTTCTTGTTTTAAGTGATTTGTGTTTTGTTTGGAGAGGACGTTTAAGCGTGCTTGGGACCATGTCATTGTTGTATTGTATTGGCAGCAACTAAATCATATTTTTTGGAGCGATTAAGTGAAGTTGGACAATTTCCCACGGAACACCTGACGAGCTCTCACGGCACACTGGTGGTTGTTAATCACTGATTGAAAGGAGAGAACAGAGAAAGAGTAAGGGCTAAAACACTGATTTTCAGCAGTGAAACAGAGCAGCTTGGGTAGAGGCAGCTCTGCAGGCCGCAGCCTCTACAGTGTGGAGGGGGGCACGCACATGCAGCCTTCAACCCCTGATGAGAGTGAAGCTGTCCACTTGGCTTCATTAAAAAACGTCCCCCATGGGAAGCAGAAGGGACTGTAGCATTTCTGCACACGGGGGCCGCAGCATTCATTGTACGAGTAATAGAGCGCAGAACAACAGGGGGGGGCCTCCATAATGAACAGCCAAGGACATGAAGCCTGCAAAGAGCCTTTATTTTAAAGAACAGATTTCTCTGGGGATTCTTCCCAGTCACACATGCCCTTAAACACAGCATTATTAGATATCTCACACAACATACAGGCTAATTATACTCTCCAAATTGAAGGGGAGTCCACGGACAACATTTTCTTTTGATGTTCTTTTAATGTTTAATGTTTTAATGTAAAGAGAAAATACCATATTGGTGTATATAATATATCTATGGAGAAGTGGAGGTGGAAGGTAACGTTAATTTACTGCATAGTACTGCATTCAATCACAAGTTTGAGACACTTTTATGCTACTTTTTACATTTAAGAAATAGTGTGAATTTAACATTTATTTGACAAAAGTAAATATTGGTTATTCTTTGGCTTCAGTGTTTATGTTTGTGTGTACCTTTACAAAAAAGCAGTTTCTGGTTGGGATCTGTTTTTTATTTTCAGATGCCTATGAGGTTTTAGCAGTTCCACCAAAAACACATTTACTCTTCTCATGTTCTTACCCGTAAAATAATCTATTATTTCACCAAAAAGCAAGGACTCGTAAAAATCACTAACACAAATGTTTGTAGCCCTTGACCAGTTACAATGGAAAAATGTGACACGTGTGTGTACACATTGATGCATAAGATATCAGTCACAGGACTTCTCACTTTTCTCTGGAACAAATATTTCCACTTTTGATACTTTAAGAACATTGTATTGACAATACTGTACTTTAACTTGAGAGGAAGGAGTATTTTAGAGGAAGGACTTGTGCATAGGTTACTTAAGGATTTGAACACTCTTCATCAAGTGTCAACTTAAAAAACAATTCTACTTAAACATATTTGGGCATCTAGTTCCTCTCAAATATTTTAATTTGTTTTCTAAATTTGGTTCTATAACTTCAACCTGTAGTTATTCAAACTAAGCAACAACAAAGAAACACAATCGTCCTTTGTTGACCTGTTCACCAGCTGCTCATGATCACACACAGCATGCCGTGGCAGGAGGTCATGAGTCGGCTCACAGAAAGGTTAAGACTTGTGTGTGTGTGGGGGGG